AACATTTAACTGTGTATTATGAATATTACTATAATTTTGCCAAAATTAAAAACTTGGTGATAATACTTTTCTTCCATTTAACAGTGTTTTAATTAATTATTTATTTAATTTTAAGTAGTAAATAATTTTTTTTGCTGATGATTTTGGAGAAAACAAGATAAATACTAATGGAGAATGGACAACAAATGTTGATTCACAAACTTACTTTGCAGTTTCAAGCATAAACAGTGACCTCTCAATATTTTCCTTTCACCAACATGTTCAAGTCTATCCCTATGTAACGTGAAGCCAATTTCAATTTTACTCTAAAAAATAAACCATTTCTTCTGCTCATACAGAAGTAAAATATATTTACTAAGATATTTCACTTGGTGTTCAGCTATGTAATATAAATAAAGAGCTCATATTACAAACATATAACAAGATCTAATAAGAATTCATATCTATAACATTATCACCCAAAATATTAGCTTCCGAATATTAAAATTTCACAATTATCATACATATAGTTATATATACAGACCTTCTTTGCATTTGCAAAATATGTGCTTAGTTTCTTCTCCATGTTAGTCTCAAACTATATACATATTTATGTTTAATGACATAAATATATGCATAAAGGAATTCTATCTTTAAGTGAAAGGATCCATAATAATGTTCACATATTCTTAGTCATGTTAGTGAAAATAAAGAATACATGCAACACTATATTCCCATTTTCTCATTCACTGCCAGTTTAACCTTGTCGAGAATGAAATAATGTACTAAGAAATAATTTAACAAATTCAAAAAACAAGAACATTTACATTTTTTTCAGTCTTTTCATGAAAATAACTTGTGTAATACGTAATCCATTATAATATAATGCCATCAACACATAATCACTTACTTGAAGTGTAAGAAGAAGACACACTGGAACAGCGTGGCTCAGTGACATTTAAAAACGCAGCCGAACACTAGAAGAGAAACATTTTAAGTCCATGAATACAGAAGACATTGTGAACTGCAATGGAATCAGTAGACGTATATCAAAGAAGTACAATAAGTATGAACAAGAATAAATTAAATGCTTATGAGTGTCGTTCACCTGCTCGGGGAAGCGCTGGATGGCTGCGAAACAAAATGGGTTTCTAAAAAAAAAATTATAATAATAAAATAATAATAATAATAATATATATATAAAAAAGCAATAGCATTATATTGCAATAGACTACAGTAAATAATATCACAGAAATATATTCAATTAAGATTCCATAATTTGGTTCAGTTAAAATCTGACTTTGTGAGACCTATTTTGCAACAAAATAAGCCTGTAGCGAGCAGGGCATATGTTCACGTACTCTGTGTGTCTATATATACAAATGCACAAACATGTGCACACACACATTACAATTCCAATTGCTCACATGCCATGTACCAATGGAAGAATGTAAGTGAAATATCTATGAATACACACAAACTCAGATTTATGAAATGTCGGGCTGTGTGAGCTTTCATTCTTGCCAACACCTCCTAATATACCTGTCGTATCCCCTCATATACACAGATCATACCATGCCTTGCACATGACTATGGCTAACTTTATAAGCTAGACAGCTTGCACTCCCATGTAGACACCCGGACCCACGTGCGCGCATACACACACACACACCAGTAAGAGTACGTAACAATACAAAAATATAACAATGTGCTATTTATCTATTTATAGCTATGTTAAACCAGTGGCAGAAAATGAGGATAATTTTTAAGATACTGTGTAAAATACTGATACATTAAACTCGGAAACAAAGTAGATTTCAACAAGAATTTTAGTTTCTATAATGCAGAGGCATTTTGTACACATATACAAAGGTAAACGTATTACACTCTCTCCAAAGACAAAAGTATGAAAGTTCAAATGTTTGTGTGATCTTTGGCTAACCGCTGTTGGTCAAATTCTTTATTTACTATAATATATTCATAAAAGTCAGTATAGTGACTAGGCTATAGACCGAATAATGGTGGTTAAATTTATAGTAGTGGCAGGTATTTTTCTCTTTACTCCTGCCTCAGATGCAAAGCCATTCAGCCTCCTATTCAGTGGGTACTAGGATCTCTTTTCACATGAGTAAAGAGGCTGGTGCTTTAAGTTGAGCACTCACATCCACATCCTCACACGCATCGAACACCAGAGCACTCCTGCTTCATATTTGGGAGGTCCTGGGTTCAAATATTGGTCTAAAGACTGGCTACCCTGACTGGATCTCCATGGTTTTCTTCTGTTCAACCAGTAAAACGCTGGGGCAGTACCTTATACCAGGCCATGACCACTTTTTTCCACATCCTTTCCAAATCATTAATCATTCAATGTTATACAGTCTAAGCTACTGACAGCATAGTTAAATAAACCACAAATAAACAAGTAAACTTTCATATATCTTCATGTCATGGCACTTACTTCAACACATGATAATGAGTTCTGTAAAAAGTGGCAGATGCACTTCATTTGTTTCTGCATGTCAAACAGTGCACAATATAAACAATTAAGTTCAATAAACCATCAAATACAATAATTCACAAATTTATCATTGAATGTAAAAGGGACCCACATGCTTCAGTGAAATTCTACCATCTTCGGGAGCATCCAAATTGTGCACGCTATTACACTCAATATGCTTTACACAATACATGAAGAGAACGGCACGTAGCCAATACGTCAGTTACATATAAGATAATTTACATCTCAAGTATTTTATGTCATTAGGTACAGTAACGCTCAACCATGATATTGCTATTAAATAGTTATCTGTATGTCCCTGTTATAAGTAGTTTACATAAACTCGAATATTATTTATAAAGAGGAACTTTGATTTATTTGGAAATTCAGTTTCACGTAATAAAATCTGGTGACCATGTGTTAAAAATTCATAGTTCCTTCAGCTAATCAATGATAGAATTTGTGTGTGAACAGTAAGAAATAAATCAACATCTCTATGATGACAGTGGTATCATAAAAGTTATGAAAGTTATGTAACAATAATTACATACAAGAACATAACAGAAGACAGAGATCCTCTTGGGAAATTCCAATCGTCTGCAAAAATTACAAGAGGAAGATTTTAAGAAGTTTTAGATATAGCACCTGCATTCTACTGTGTTAAAATGCCCTTTGAGTAATAGATATATTACAGTAACATACTTTCATTTGAAACAACAGAAAGTGCAGCACATAATTGCCCTTATCGGCTTTCCATTTTATGTGCGCACGCATGCAACAACAATTTATATCTGACCGAAGCAGAAACAGCATGAATTTTAGTGGGAGGTCAGAATAAAAAACTGTCAGAAAATTTTTAGACCCTACAGGGTGTGTTTTATAATATTTCATGTGAACAAAACATGTATCCACATACGACCCTAAACATAACCGTCTTCTCCTTCCGACTGTCCAACTAAGATTCAACATCAGCAACATCACAACTTCACCATTAAACAGATTCCTAAGCCAATTCATTCCACTTTCTCATATGTCATTTCCTAAACACCCAATTTAAAATTCCCATTCCGTCAGTTTCTCTACATTCTAGCAAGATTCTCCGATAAAATCTTCTGTCACATCTGAGCTGCAGGTTCAGTTCATTGACTATGACCCTAGGTGAGCTGTAAGTTACCTTTCTCTCAGCAAATACTCACATAACCTCTTTTTATTTTTGGTTATTGATGCCACACAAATGCTATATATAAAATTTACCAGTGTTTTTAATTTTGTACATACAAATAACACACAAGTCAGAAACTCTAACTGAGCAAGAAAATACCGTGCATAAAAATTTTAATCATTATAATTTGTGAAATACTTAAACTACAGTGATGTCATTTAGAAGAAAGAATGCCAGAATATTTGGTGCTCAGAAAGAGATTCTACTCTAGTCTTAGTATTACTGCAGCTAGCCAACAAGAAAGGGCTGAAACCAACACAGGGTTTGTGAAAAGCAGACCATGCTTTGGCACAGCTGCCAAATAAACTTCATGTATAATAATACCAAAAATGTTTCTGTAGGCCCCTTAATGAATTTAAACTGAAGAGTTCTGGGATTTCTTACAAGTTAACAAGAAAAGTTAAAAGGCAGGGATCATCAACAGATTATTCATCTGATTCTTGTCAATAAATAGAGTCTGTAACTTTTTCGCATATCGTTTAGCAGCTTCCTCTGTCTTTCACTAGACCTTTCCAAGAAACAAACCATATATAAACAGGAGTGTGGCGCATAAATAGGTAATGTTACTAAGAATATAAACCATATAGAACACTAAATCCAAAGATATGAACATCAGGATATACATGTATTCTCAGAAGAGGAAATTAAATATGAGCTGCTCTTTAAAAAATAACTTTCTACATAGCTGGCACTGCATCCAGATATTATGTAAAACTGTTAAACCGTTGCTAGTGCTCAGTTTATAACTTTGAAACATATATTAACAAAAGAACTTGACTGCTTTTTCCATTCACCAGAACACAGTTATCAGTGATATACATAAAACAAGAAACAACACAAGTTTTTTTTATGTAGCCTAGTACCATTTCTTTGTACTGTAAGAAAATTCAAACTAGCGAACAATACTTTCAATAGCAACTCAGCTACCCCAGTCGAGGAACACAAGTCTCTTATAAAATATACGTTGCTTATTATAAACTCTTAAATAGATGCTGCTTTAAAGCACACATTTCAACCATTGCTGGAGCAAGTACTTTAACAACTGAACATGTAACTATTAAGATTTCTGTCTTCTGGGTTATTGCGCTGTTTAGTCTGGTCGATGGTTACCAACGTTTCAGAGGTCATACTGCCTCCATCATCAGGGCGATGAATTGACCAGACTACACAGCGCAACAACCCAGAAGACAGAAACGTTCCATCACCCTGATGATGGAGGCACTATGACCTCTGAAATGTTGGTAAACATCGACCAGACTACACAGCGCAACAACCCAGAAGACAGAAATCTTCATACTCACACCTGTGAAAACCTCAAATCTTACATGTAACTATTAACCATCAAGAAAAAAATATCAAGTTAATTTAATATAAGAATACAGAAACTTTAGTTAATACATTTTAACTATAGGGTAACTATTCATGGCTTCCAGCACATTCTTCAATCAAATAATGTTATTACGGACTGCTTTTTCAGCATCTGGCAAGACAAACATTACAGACCTCGGGTTTGTCAATCACAGGACAACACGGTTGTCACACCAAGTATGTAACAATTAACAAATCATTAAATGAGTTCAAATTTGTATCAACAAGAACTGTTCATAACAGCATAGTAAAAATAGGGACTGGAGAATACTTAATGCTAAGTCACTACTGACTTTGCATATGACTGAGGCAGAGATAACAGGAGTCAGAATTGAGGGGTGATGGGAAAGGACAATTCTGGATCAATATATTTATTGTATTATATGTAGATGCTTCCAACGTCTCAGGACTAAAGGCAGTCGCAGCCTCCAATATTCTTAGCATTATTTAAATGAAAGCCCTAAGTGAAGTTGTCCCTTCATTAAACATCACACCGTGAAGGCGTTCAAACAGTGAAGAGATGGCTGACCAACTTCACACTTGAGAAAATACAAGCAAACTGTTAAATTTCTAAGATTTCATAACACATGCGCATGAAATGAGTCATTCAAACTGTATTTGTAAGTTAAACAGACAAATGAATTATGATAATTATGATAAAGTATGACTGCTTATATCTTGCATTAAAAATTTATAAATTTTGAGTAAATTATAAATTTAGCCATAAGATGCTTTAAAAGTGTTCACATGAAATTTATTTCCCAGGCTGTGTTAGAGAGAAAATGGAAAAAAATAATGTAAATCTTTACTTTTATGCGCAAATTTCATACATAATTACAAAATTCAGAACTCATAACATTAGCCAGAGAATGCTTTAAAAGAATTTATACTGCAAAATCATCTTCAAAATAGTAAAACAGACAAAAAATATAAGAACTACTATATCTGTAGATACAATTTAAAAGAAATCAGAGTTACGAATATTGACAGAGCTATAAAGAAATGGTCATGATTTATGCTTTATGTACATCACATTTTGTAACACGTAACTGGAGATAAAAGTTACAAACAGCAAAATTAATCATATCAATATAAAAAGGAACATTTTTTGCAATGTATGTCCACAAATTTAAAAATTAAGTGATATATTATACAGATGAAAATGTATACCAATCCATTCTTCTGAATACTGTCTAAGTGCACATTTGGGTAGGTAGATATAGATGAATACTGACTATAGAGGCCATAAAATGTATATGAAGAAGGTTTTGAACTTTTTCTCTCAGAATAACACTTGAAATGGGCTGATTTAAAAGTACACCACAAAGTAACAAAATATCAGCCTATTACTACATATCCCTGTGATCTACCTCCAGTCATATACAAATGTAATTGATATTCTTCAATGGCTCAGCAACTATAATATACAGAAATTATTTTAAATACTGTACGGTATATAACATAGTGCGGCTGTAGTTTCAGCAACAGACCTTGCTACAGAACACGGTAACGTCTTTGCGCAGCACTCTTCTATTCTTCTCTTGGTGTGTACTTAAGTTCATGTCACTGTATTGCATTATGGAGTTACTGAACTAAGAAACGCTGGATCTACTGATGCTACTTTAGCTGTGAGGAAGGCGTGCATGCAGAACAGAAGGCTTTGTAGGGAAGATGTTTCTAATTCCTATTGAGAGAAAACACATGACAAGTTAGTTAACTGTATATACACAGAAGTGAAGTCTCTTTACCAAGCAATGCCATTACCAATTATTAGCATCTACAATCATATGGTTCTACAGAATTTGACAGAATATAACTTTTGATCTTTCTAAACAGCACAGATGATATCAGGATTTTCTGCAGACAAACCTGCATAGAAAGAGTTCCTCATGGCCATCTGGCTGGGTGATCATATCATCACTGAGGATTCCCTAACAATTACCCAGCTGGTTTGGGATTTCACATCTAGGGATTCCCCAAATAACCATGGCAACCAAAATAACCATTCCTTATGTAAGGATTCCCAAAGCAAAAATACATTTAGGTTTTTATGCAAAGTGACAATTATATTGTCTAATTTTTACCAAATATGGAATTTTTGACAAATTTTACTGAAACTCCTCAGTACCTAATTTCATGAAAATTCATTCAGCAGTTCTTAAGTTGTTATTTATGGACAGACAGGCCAACATGGCATATGATCTTTTTGCAAATCAATTTTTGAAGGCTGTTTCTTGACCTAATCAGTTCCTTTCGTTACTAAGATACAGGCATGATAAAAGTAGTCTTGTACATCTTCATGTATTCTCAACCTCTAGACTACACAGGGCAGAGGTGAGCAGTCTGGACTGACATGAAAACAGGAATACTTTTATGCACCTACCAAATGGCATACTTACTTTTGTCTCAATAATCTTGGTCTCAGCATTTTGAAAGTGTAGCTTTAATTTGCACTTTCCATCATCAGATGAACCTTTCAGCTGAGAGAATTTGTATTTCCACGAATATGTCTTTGATTCAGTGTCATAGAGAGCAAATCCCATGTGCCAGTCTAACGTGAGACCAGCTGTTTTGCCATTTGAAGTGGTGACACTGAAGGTTTTGCTCTATGAAGAGAAAGGAGATAAACTGTATGGCTGCCAACAGTCACTAGGCCAGGACCATTCAATAAGTGTTCACATATAAATAAAATGGGGCTGAACCCAGTATTCATATACCTATATAGTCCTTGAATGTATGCACACTTATACTTGGGTTGATTCAGAACTTAAGTTACGTGTTGCAATCCTTGGTTATTAAGTAAAATAGTATTTTAAACTTTTTAGCCATGAAATGTATAAAGTCAGAAATAAATCCTTGCCATACCCATGGAAGCTCAAAAGAAACACAAAACAATAAAATCTGTAAAACCTTTACTACCCCATAGTCATGTAATATTGTAACTGTACTGGATTCGATGTTTTGGTGACCAAATTTCAAAGTATGTATTGGACAGTTCCCAGCAGATAACAAGAAACATTGTATATAAAACACTGACTTTAATTGTGTTTTGTATGGATACAGATATAACAAATGGGGCACAAAATAAAACAGTGCATCATCATACTCCACCCAAGTCTCTCTAGGCATTGCCAGCCCTTTGATGTAATTAAACTAGGCAATTTTTTTAGCACTCTTAGAAACAATGTAAATTTCACACAATTTCACTGAAAAATTACCATTATAACAACCCACTAAAAACACAAGAAAATAACAGGGAATTCAGAATTATCTTGTGTATTACATTTTAACTAAAACAGTTACTTAATATTTCAGTAGAAAAATTTTTATGATTCCCTCACATATATAATCACAAAGCATGTGGATAAGAATGCGATGTGAACGTGGCTAATACATGGCCACACTACACCAGGTTCAAGACATATGATCAATGGCTTTCATGGTGACTAAATTCAAAGAAGTCTTCATAGGCAATCAGTCATGTCAGGAGGTCATAAAACCAGGATCAAGAGTTTAAACATAAAATGGCTTACCCCTAATTTCATGACAGCTGCACACACAGAACAATGCCAGGCATTCTCTATCCTCAGAAGTTCTTGCCTTGTTTCTACTGACAAGTACCTTGACTCATGGCCTGATGTTTGGATCAAGAAGCAATGTTGTCTCTCATCAACATTTTCAGAATCCTTGATGACTCGGAACATTGTTTGGTATACTTTAAAAACTAAACCACATTTCAGCCAGTCCATTATGTTTAACTGCAACAATATATCAGATAAATCTTGAGTTACAGAACATTTACATTACATAAAAGTCAGTCTGATTTTTGCTTGCACTCACTCAGAGTTGTTGAAATAGGTTGAACCTTAGAAAAAACAATGAAATTATTTCGTGGATAAGCCTACTGATATTTTTTATTGTTGTTACTCTATAATAATGTGTTTTTATCTATAAACTTTGTCAGATTTACAATTCTGTTCTTCAGGGTTATGATGCAAAGTGGATTCATACGTAGAAAAACAATGTAATCTTCACTGTCATGAAAACATCAAATCTCACACTGCTTTAGATTTACATTAGTGTGTATTATATTAGTTTAGAATTAGACACGTTTAAGTCACATCTTTAAATACCCCTATATGTGTAATATGCAAATTCAAAAGTTGCTGAAATTCAGTGGGTATTTATGATAATATTTTTAATAAATTCAAATAGATAATGTGATGTGGTGTATGAATTTAAAACAGGGATAAGTATTGAGGAAGGGCATGAAGGGCCTAGGATATAGATGTGTAAGAGGCAGAAATAAATAAGAATAGTAGTAAAAGATATAAAATAAAGGAACAAAGAGGGGAAGGATTTGCATTAAAAGAAAAAAATAATTCCCTGATGAATTGCGACAGGCTTTTGAAACTTATTTCTATATAATAACAATAAAGAACAACATAACCCAATGAGGCCCACATACTATGAAATACTAAGGTTGAGTGGAGCATTGAAGATGGCTGTCTTCTGCCAGACTACACGGCACAACAACCCAGAGGGAGCCATCTTCAGACTCACCATCGTGAAAACTTCAAATCCTACAGAGTGGAGCTTTACCTCCAGGTCTCCTACACTCATCCATGGTGTGGCCCTTAGGCACAAGGGTTACTTTACAATCTCCTTACCAATTCCAGAATCTTGTGTTGTTTCTGTTAGATACTTACTGGCGGGGAGTCAAATAGCAACACATCCGTACCCTTGAGCGTCAGAAACCTCGGTTTGTAGTTCTGCCACGGCTGATTGTTGTTGAGGATACCCTCATTCACCCAACCCATGTATTCAATTCGTTCTGTTGCTGGAAAGTTCCGGTTATACAGCTTCATCTGTCAATAATATCAAACTATACTGCCACAATGAACCAAAAAACCAATAAAATAAATAAATAAAGTCTTAGTTGAGAAACTTATAGTCACTCAGCTACTTAATACCTTCCCATACAGGTAGTCTCAATATTTATTAAGATCCACTGTATGTTTCGACCTTAACTGGTCACCTTCAGGTGGTTCTCTTTCAGTGCCGAAAACTTAAATATGACTGCTCAATTTTATACGTATTTTCTGTTGCAGACTTCGGCACGTAATGGACTGTGTCTTAAGGGGCTTACCTATTTAAGTCGGGTGGACTATATGGCTGTACTGGTAAAAAGCTGTAATTGAACTGCAGTTCAACTACAGCTTTCCACAGAATTTCATTTGTTAGTACCTGTAGGTTTGTGAGTCCCACAATATTGTCTGTGATATATTTGAGCCACTGGGAAAGAATAGCTGCATCATCACAGTGGATTATTCCAGTAGATGCTCCATTAAGGCCTCTCACTTCAAAAGCATTAGGTCGTAACTTGTCCGTCCCAAATATATAACGTGTCACATACGCCATCATCAGCGGAACTTCAAAAAGATGAAAAACATAAATTCATTAGGTGTGTCACATGAAATCATGGTTAAATTCCAGTTTATGCAGAAATTACAATGTTGTTTGTACAATTCAAGAGAATACACGTTTTCTAAAGACTTCAATTATCATTTTCAAGTATTCAGAGGAAAATGCATGAAACAATAGAATCAAGGGAGCTGAAATAGGGTGGGGAAAGGATAATAAACCAAATGCCACTTTGAGATCAACCATAAAAGAGGAGGAATAAATTGTAAGGATCTGAAATACAGCATAGAATACATTGTGCACTGATATTTGTTTACATATAATGTACACTTTTTGAGGTATGTATTTTGCACATTCCTGTAAAGACTGAACAGTCTATCTTTATCTCAAAAATAAAAAAATTACTGCAGAATGTAATCAACATACCTACAAACATTTATTTGCTGAAATTAATATTACTAACATTTTAGACAGGCAAACAGATCATGAAATACCAAAAATATATCGCAATAATTACAATTTTCTATACTTTGTTATAAATTACCCATGTCAGTCACAAAAAGTACAATTCCTATGAGCTGATAAAGTTTTTAATTGTAAAGGAGCCAAGGTCAATGTAATGGTACTTAATACCATATGTAAACCTTCAGCCTTTTCACTCCCCTTCCCTAATTATTCTATTAAAATTAATATTGAAAGGTGATTTCTATATTTCTTATGCCTCAGGAACACGTAGTAGACTTTATTCTTAAATTTCAACAATGCAGTTTTATATTAAAATTAAATTCCATCATGTAAATGTGTAAAATAAAACATATGCTTCCAAATTCTTTTAACATAAAACTTCCCTTTTAATAATGAACGATAAAGTTACTTACCAGTTGATGTTGGTAGATGTAATCTCTGCAGAAAATAAATAAAAAGAAAACAAAAAATAACTGAACAAAACAGAATAGAATCTATAACCGCATCTGGCATGCAACTGATGGTGACAACTGAAAGGTGCAAGGCAATCTGTTTGTCACGAAATGGCCACCTAGTCACAATGTTGACTTCACTACACACACAATCACTTGTATACAATATCAAACATTGTCAGTTATATATTACAGTCACAAACCTAAAAACACATTTATTCCTGCCTTTTGTCTTCATCTTTCAATTTCTAGATGCTTATTATGTTCTATTTTATGTTATTTCTCTTCATTTTTCTATTCATTAAGTTTTTGTCACCACTCCCCATAGGCAACTGCCTAGTTTGCCTAGCGGTTAAACCAGCAGCAGAAGCAGTTCAAACCTGTGACAATGTCGATCCACCTCCTTTGCATCCCTGTCGGGGAGAAGGAACCTGAACTTGGTCTGCTATTGCTTGGAGACCTCCAGCCTTCTTCAGATCTCAGCTGAGAAGCTCCTTCATTGTCAAGATGGGGTTCATCCCTCTGCACTGCAGATATAACCATCCATCACATTCTATATAAGAAATCTACATACTAACAACATACTTCACGGCAAAACTCACTAAACAAGGATTATCACAATGGATCCCTCTACGTGACTATAGATATGAATGCTAAATTCAGAGATGTTTAACAGTATGATAATTGACTGGGCAATCAAATAAATCTTTATTCCAATTTAGAACATCTGTCTGCTCTTTGCTGTTAACAATTTCACATCTAATACTTTTGCTCTAAATCTTGTTTCTCACTTAAAGGGTTGGTTTGTTTTGTGTACTTTAATTGACAGATTAAGTGGGTCACAGGAACTGAACTATATGATAACAAGAATTTCTTGAACTTTATCAGCTCAAATTTAATTCTCAACACCATTTTGATAATCCTTCGTATTTGCCACATTTACATAAAACGTATTATTTACTATTATATCATAATTTTGTACTGAAATGTGTTTACAAGACATGCAAATATACTTTTTCTGCTTATTTCTGAACCAACCTACTTATAAACCTCTAACAGAGTTCCATGGCTCTTCTTTATGATATTTACAATTTCATTCAGTAAGTGTCAGCAACACAGAAAAGTAGCTAATGTGTCCAGATCATTTATAAGCGTAACAAACTTATAACTTGATGCCTAGAGTGGTCTATCCTTGAACTTTATCTATGAATATCTTTGCTTATACAAAAATTATTAACCCCTTCATCTGAAGTGTGGTAGATGAATACAGCATGGCGATGAATCAGAGACTATAATCAGATTCTTTTCTTAAATATATTTTTTTCCCAAAAGTTAAAACATTTTTAGCACAATGATAATATTTTTTGAACTTACTGTAGTATTTTAAAAATATCTATCTCCAACAAAACAAAACACATAAATGAAAATAAATTTTATGTATTTTGTTCAAACAGACTCTTGGAGCAGTTCCATGAATTAAAATCCATCATGTTTCAAGAAATATCCTGTAATAATGAATGCAAATCATTAAAATATAAGAAAGTGAATAAGAGGATTATTTCCTGATGTTTACTACTTACAGTTTTTTTGGAGGAAAGGTGTGGCTGCCCTGTAATGTTTTACAGTCAGCATTACAAGATCCCCAGCATTGCACAGGATGTTGACTGCGTCGTCATGGTTACAGGAAGTGATGTACTCCCCATTGACTAAAAGAGTGACAAAATTGAATTCAATTTAGATTATTTTAAGATGTAAGCTGATGTAAAGAATTAATCAGAACGTTGCAACGCTTTTACTTAAAATATACCTGAACTTTCGTGTTATGTGAGCAACAAACTTCTTATGACTTACAAATGTCATTAGACAGTAATTATCATATAGCACAATCCGATACTCATGTTGTAGTCTTGTAGAACCATTTTCATATACAGTAATACTCCGATTAGGACTCAGAAGACAGCCATCTTGAGACTCACCGCCCCGAAAACCTCAAATCCTACAATATTTTCACTGTCAGCGAAGTGTGTGAAACCCTTGCTTTATTACAAATGTACGTATGCTATTTTTCTATTTAACTGTCAATATCCACACCCAAATATCTGACTTCCCCACGTGTGAGTGCATCAGAAATGGTCCTGCTTTGATTACATGTTGGATTTGTCAAAGACGTTTTACGTAATGCAATCCATTCATTACTGTTCTCAGGCTAAATATTGTTTCTTTATTAATCAATTATATTCAAGTCATCTTATCTGTGCAAGTACTGCTCCTTCAAGGCCTAATTTGTTATGTCAGTATGGCGACTAAAGTTAGTGATGGATAACAGAGGTTCAATTCTTGGCGAAGGCAAAGACTTTTCTGTTCACTACCACGTCCAGGCCAGCTCTAGGGACCTCAGAACCTCATATGCAATTAGCATTTAATACTAGGAGAGCGAAAATGCCCATTCACCTCTGACTTGGGCCAAGGTTAAGGATGCCTGGAGCTGTACCTCAACTATCTAATATATTCAAGGTGTCATGCTTAATTAGGCATAAACACCTTTCAACTAGATATAAAATGTTAGTTTTCAGCTGATGAAATGCTCATTAAACATTTACAATTCAGAGTCACTGAGAAATTCTGAGGCTCGTCACTCAGACACAGCCCAGCAGCTAACCTTTGACGATGGCGTCTCCCACAAACAGTTCACCTGTCCGGTCCGCTGCTTGGTCCTTGAATATCCTGGAGATGAGTATTGGCAGTTTGTGCTCTGCGCCTCCTTTGATACTCAGCCCAAGGCCTCCCACCTTCTGCCTCGTCACGCTCACAATGCGCTCCTACAACACATGCAACATGTCGCTCATTGACAGTATATCAAAGTGGACAGGATATTTCATTCAGGCTAATATTTCTCTTAAGCAGTTTCATGGGATCTGAGTACTTCAGCTGGCATTGTAATCCTGGGGTCCCGGGTTCGATTCCCGTTCGTGCTCAGATTTACAACTTGTGTTGGGCAAGGCCGTGGTCTAGGCAACACGGAGTTTTCCTCCGTGGCTTCCCCGGTTTCTCCGTGGCATCCCAACAATTACTCCATACTCACAAAGAAGGCAATGGCAAACCACTTCTGTATCACCTGCCTAAAACATATATGAACAGGTCCCAGTCTGAGAAAAGGATGGAAGGATCCTGTTCATAATATGTCACCAACCTCCTGCAAAGGAGACTGCGTAATAAAGAAGAAGAGTACTTCAGGCACCAATGGACATAACCGGGGATTCTCTTCACCTCCTTTCATCTGAAGAAGGAAGCAGAAACAAATTCCGAAACACTGTGATTTTAATAACACCTACAAAATCAATAACGTCTTAAGAACACAATTAACATAGTATGCAAGAAATCTTCTCACTTCGAGCATTATATTTCCTCTCTGTCAGCTATAGCACGCGTAACTCTTTGTAGTGTCTTATCCCTACTAATGTCAGATCTGTAAGTTTTGGTTTCTGAAAGTGGATAATAAAACCCAATTCTCATTATGTTCCAGTTCTGCCAGTCCCACGCACTTTCATGAAACGTGCCTGCCCACTTGTTGTTATCGCCAATTCCGTGTAAGTGGGCCTAATAACTATACTTTACAAAGAAAGGCAAGTTCTTGTGGTCTACGTCAGTAAAGATAATCCTATCTTCGTTATGTTTAATTCCCTGCCATGCATACCTAACGCCAATCCAGAAGTCGTGAAAATTTCTAAGGTTAAATTTAATGTAGCCCTATTTAATAAGTTGGAGTGCTCAACTTCGGTGAGATAATAAATCTTAGTAAAACATTTTAAGTTCTGAACAAGTAATTTCTTTTGTATAATGTATGGAATAAAACGGCGGACAGCGTAATTTACTTGTTACTTAAACTTAACTCCCAATTTGATGTAGATTAAATAATGAACCACCAGATCTAAGAACGAGAGGCCGATTTTAAATACTTATAAATGATACACGAGACAATTTCATATGTTACAGGTTACAAATATGATGACAGTGCATAATTTTCAGCTAATATCTGGCGAGATTAACGTAGGTAGTTAGTTCCTGTGGAATTTGGAAACAAAGTGGGTAACTAAAGTGAATAGTTAGCCTATTAATCTACAGAATGTCCTACAACAGAATGACCATAGCTTAACTATGTTCTCTTGGAATTATTTTGAGTCAAAAAGTTCAAATAAACGTGGGTACGAGCTGCAACGGTTTGTCAGAAGAATTCTGCTCACTCACTATGCATTGGCTGTTTGCTTATCGGACCGAATGTGCTTGAAACCGGTTCATACCTCTGCCCTA